CCATTACCAATGTCATGGCTGTGCTCATTTCCTAATGAGTAAACAGAGAGCCAGAAAGAAATTAATTTTTCAAGTATAGGTGGCAAGTAAGCACATGAACGTTGGCATTTTCAAAAATAATATTCACTGCATTATCTCAGATAACATCTCATTTAAAATGAGTATTTCTTTGCACCATATAAATGTTAAAATGGTTTATAGTACAAATCATAGTAAGAATATTGTCTTACATAATTTTTGTCTGTGTCCTCTCTCTTTCTTCTCTGATACCAATGATCTTCATTTTACCCCACTGGCCAAGACCCAGGCCGATCATGTCCATAAAGGACAAGGCAAATGGTTTCCCTGCATTCATGCCTTATTGAAATTTGTCCGACTGTTGGCCACTTTTAGGGAAGAAGACAAGTGTGTTGGAGGTGACCTTTTTGTTACCTGATTTGAGATACACTGTTGTTGGATAGTAATGACTTCCTTTCTTATCTCCTTAGACAGTTAGTAGCTTTGTCTGTTGGTTCAGAGAATTCGAATTTGAAGATGACTTTTTCTGGAGTACTGGGACAGAACACAGGGCCCCGTTCAAGTCAGGCAAGCCCTCGACCATGAGCAATATGTCCAGTCCCAGGATCTGTGCCGTACTTATATCTGTTCCTCGAGTAAATTCCGAAAACATGTAGGATTTTTACCCTAATTCCATCTGTATAAAATGCAGAATGTAACTGTTAAAATAGCCCAACAACCAGAGCTATCAGTTGACAATCCATAGTTCATGGATAGGTTTCATGGGAATTAGTATAAACTTTGTGTAGTCTGACTCTGTTCTAATTATATTCCTGATTTTTAAATTTTAGAGTCATGTGAGAATTCAATTATAGCCTTTTTTGCCTTTAATTAACAGAGATTCACTGTCACCTGCAGTCTTATGTTGCTTGTTAATTATTTCCAGTACATTCTAAAGACATTTTCGTGGTGTGTCCCCAGTCAACTGTGGGAAGCACTTACACCTGCTTGTGTCTCTTACTTCCAGGGTGTGCAAGGAGCCCTGAGCCGGTAAGTGTACTTTCCGCTCCAGTGAGGGAGCGGGGGAGGCGGAGAGGGCTGGTGTGGCCATGCTGACATTTCCAGGTTCTCTGCTCTTCTCAGAAGTAAGGCTGTGATGCCGCTGGAACCAGAGACCATCCCCATGGAGCTGAAGACCCCATGTCGAATCCCTGGCATGCGGGAAATGTTGAGGAGATTCCAAGGTGGGTGGAGCCCTGGAGCCTGGGAACTGATGCTGAGAGTGTGGGGCTTACTGCCGCCCTTACTGCCCTGGCCTGTGGCCACAGCAGAGCAGCCACAGCAGAGCCTCAGGTCTCTGAGACTCACTGTGTGAGTGTGCTGTCATATGCGAGTGAACTCTCAGGGTGTCGTGGCCTCTCACCTGGGGCCCAGCCTGGCAGACTTCCAGCTCCTTCCCGGATACAATGCGTCAGCCCTGCCCAGCAGAACATGTGGGTGTCTCCCTCGAGGAGTCGATCAGTTCTCCAGGGTTGCCCCGCTGGCTCCCACTCACTCTATTCTGACACTGTCCACCTGCAGGCATCATCGAATCCCACAGGTTGAGGGCCTGGTCCTGCAAAGCTGTGCCCTGCTTCAGGAGCAAGGAACAAGCAGGCTGTGGCTTGTGCCTCTGACCAGCCAACTGCAAAGCAGCTTTCCCAGGACCCGCTCTATGAGCGTGGTTTGTTTGCTAGAGCAGCCCCCAGAACTCAGACCCTACTCACACTTGGTCAGTTATTGTACAGGGTGTTGCAGAGGATGGGGACCAACAGCCGGGTGGAGGAAACCAATAGGGTTGGTGTGAGGAGGGGCAACACGCCCTCTCTGGGTGCTCCTTGCAGGATCTCCTTGTGTGCCGCCACTGGCAAGCTCTGTCTTTGGGTTTATGGAGGCTTCATTCAGCAGGCATGACCAGTGACACCACTGGCCACTGCTGGCCCCTGGAGCTTCAGCCCCCACTCTCCTCCCAGAGGTAGGGGGATGTTGGACTGAAGGTTCTATCCCTTTAATCCCAAGGGGTTTCTCTGGAAACCAGTCCCCATCCTGAGGTCATCTAGGCCACCAAGCACCAGCCATCTCACTAGCATGCAAAAGAGTCCCTTGTCTCAGGACTTTTGGGAACTGGTGTGTCAGGACCTGGGACATAGACCAAAAATATACTGCACTCTCTCACCATGACTCATGCACTGCCCTTGGCCTTCCTGAGGATTTCAGTGTCAGGCTGTGAAGGGGTGGAGCAGTGCACCTGCCTGCAGGAAGGGGGAGGGGACATTTGTGCACAATCCGAGCAGATGCCAGTCAGGGACACCCAGAGGGTCTGCACGAAATGGCTTTGTTCACCCAATCATGTTGTTCTTTAAAATGGTGACGATTCAATATTTTTACTATTTCCTTTTAAAATTTACTTTGCACCACATAATACAAACTGTGGCTTCCCAGGGACAGTCTTGTCCTGTAATGAGAAAACCTACCTCAGTTGTAGCACCCAGTGACCCCCCCCCACCCCGTTTGGTGGACAGGTGAACATACACTAGCCATGTGACTTGATGAGGGCCTTCGCAGCACACCCCCAGACTCTGTCACCTCCTATGCTTTTCCTTTTTACCGAATGAAATAGTTAGTGAATGAATCCAGCCCATGCTGCCCTTTCTACCAGTGGAGTGAATCATTGAAGAACAAAAGCAAATCAAATGTGCTATGACC